CCAGGGGCTCCAAGCTGGGCCTGTGGCCCCTGCCACCAATTTTTGCCTTCAAGTTTGTCTTATCTCCTCCTGGCACAGCTACCACGCTGTCAGCTGGGGAAGGAGAACCCCTGCACCCTGCTCGGGGACCAGCCAGCCTATCCTCCTGTCACCACAGTCTTAAGGGCTGCTGGTCCCTTCCCAGGAAGTGGCTTAGGCGCCCCTTCTCCCAGCCACTATGGATGGAGACCTCCTAACCAGACCCAGGCTGCTGCCAGCCTGCCCCTTCTGCCTCCAGGGTGGGGAGCAGCAGGGCCAGGAATTCCTCGGGATTCAGCAAGCACTCCCAAGCCAGCTTGGCCCCTGGGTCTTGCTGGCTGCACTGGGCAGGGGTTGAGACCCTGAACCAATTCCTGAGCTTCCCGAGAGGGGCTCCGGCCAGCTGGCCCCAAGGGAAGCATAGAGGAAGGAGCCCCTTGGGAGCTGCCTTTTTCTGGGAGCATGGCTGCACAGCTCAGGCTGGGTCTGCCAGCTGAATCACTATGCTTGGCCTGGGCATCCAGCTCAGGGAGAGCAGGGCCCTGGAGCTCAGCAACAAGTCTCTTGCTTCCTCTTTCTCTTCCTCACCCCCACCCCATCGACACCGTCAGGGCTCCTTAGCTTAAGGGGTCCCTACCTTACCCAGAGGTCATCTCCCCCCCAACCCACATCCATGTCTTCCTCCCTCCTCATCCTTTCCCCTCCATCCTCAATTGACCCTGAGTGTGTTTCCGTTTAGTAGATGTTAGAGATGCTGAGTGGGGCATATAGCAGAGAAGGTACACCTCGCTCGGGCTCAACCTCCCACCTTCCTGCTACTTGGAAAGCCAGGGGCATTGCCATTGGCACTACCAATCTGAGAGGTTAGGATTGGCTGCTCTAGGCTCTGCTGGCTCCCAGAGACTGGGCCTGGAGGAGGGGGTGAGATATCTGCTCAGGGTCTCTGGATGTAGTCACTTGAGTGTGTACCTGTGTGTATCTGCTTACAAGCCTACACAGACAGCTCTGTGTGCATGCATGTGTGAGCCACTGTGTATACATGTGTGTGTCTGGATACCTCTGTGTCAGTGTGCTCTGGAATACCAGAAGGTCTGTGTGTGTGTCTGTGTGTGTCTGTGTGTGTCTGTGTGTGTGTTCTGTGTGTAGGCCTGGTCATATGAATGTGCTTGTATGTGAGGGTGTGTGGATGAATGTGAATACATGAGGGAAAGTTTTTACTTTGAGTCCTCTGTTGGCCTAAGTTCCTCTTCTTTTCTGTTTCTCGTAAATAGTTTAATTAAAACTCAGGAAGCAGCAAAACCTTCAAAACAAGGTGTATGTGTGTACACATGTGTGTGTGCGTGCGCACACCTGTGGGCCAGTCTTCCTTGTTGTTCGTCGTGCTCTCTGCCTGTCCACTGTTCTCTCACTCACTCCCCAGGAGCTCCTCTCTTCCCCCTCCTCCCACGGACCCAGGCCACACCCTGCTCCCCACCTCTACTCCTTCGGGGGGGCTCTGCCTGCGGTGACACTGCCGCCGCCATCCTTCCAGGAGTTCATCCAGCAAAGGACTTCCCCTGTCCAACACCTGCCCCTCTGTTCACCCTTGTGGCCCCCAGACAGGAGCATCCCCTCGGAGCCTCAGGAACCTGTTGGGTGGGACCTTCTCCATGGACTGGGTGGTGATTGCAGAAGAGGTTCTGGCGTCTCCCTGGCCCCTCCATACAGATCCACACCCATTCCCACCTCACTCTTGTCGGGGGACAGGCCTCAGTTGGGGCTGGCCAGCAGGCTCCTTTGTACAGTTCTTACAATAAACCCTCCCCAGTGCCTCTGCGTCGTGGACTCCTCCCATGCGCCTGTGGACGTGGATGGGGCTGAGGGCAGCAAGGGGAAAGGATGGTGTGGAGGTAGGGAGGAGAGACAGAGGGTGAAGGCAGGGATGGGGGGCCCAGGACAGGAGCACAGGAGGACCCCGGCCCCATTCTCTGGGTCATTCTCCTCCAATCCGTTCCTGCTCCAGAAGCCTCTCAGTGGAATCCCAAGAGGCCACATGGGGACCCTGGGTCTGTGCCCCCACTCTCTCTTCACAGGCAGCACCCAGGAAGTACCTGGAGAGCCCGTGTTCCTGACCCCTCATCTCCAGAGACCCTCACACACAGCCTCTCTTCCTCCTCAGCTCTGCCCCTGACACCCAGCCCCAAGGTGCCCTGTGGGCCTGCATGGGACAGCATACTCTCAGCCAGTGCACTCAGCCCTGCTCCTCCAGTCTGAAGCCATCACCACAGCTTCTGCCCTCCTAGACTTCTTGCTCCGGGGCAGTGAGCACTGGAACCTTTTCAGGGTCTCTGCCTCCTCTACCTAGGCCCTGAGGCAATGTGACACACACAGTGATGTCCCTCCATTGTCCCTGTGGCTTGTGCTTCCACCTGCAGATGTCTGCTGGGAAGTCAGGCAGCCTCATGGTTCTCCTGCTCTCTGCCTGAGCAGGGGCTGCTTCTGACCTCAAGGGCAGGAGACTTACATGGCACCCAGACCCTGTGCCACCCTTCCTAAGAGCCTCCCCTAGTGAAAGAAAAACAGTGAAATCTGGAAAAGAGGCATAGCTACCCATAGATGAGTGTCACAATTATCCCACCTCCCACTGTCAATCAGCACCACTGACCACACCTTTCACCCAGGCTTCAGGCCCAGGATTGCAGGCAGGTACACATGGCTACCCTGTCAAAACTCCATCATTGGCACTCTCTCACCGGAAGAACCTTGGGTCTCTGAGCTGTTAGGATTGGCTGCTGCCCGCCTAGGTGCCCTTGGCCTGTGAAGGCCAGGGTTGCCACTCTTCCCTGTAAACACACTTTTGTCCTAGCACTCATCCAATGCCCAGGCCAAGCCAGGAGCACCACTAGCCGAGACCACCCTAGTGGCCTGGGAAGACTCCTGGCTGGTACACTGCAGGGGGCAGGATTGGAACCCACCCACCACCCACCCATCCTCCCCCACCCCCCGGCTACAGGCCTCTTCCCTTCCAGGAACAGCTAGCCTGGAGGAAGGGTAGATCTGAGTTCCAGCCTTCTCTGGTGAGGTAGCACGGGATGGGTGCGTGACTCTGCCTTCTTTGTGTCCCCAACCTGTGGGCCCCTTGTGCCTCTGCCTGCACCTCCCGCACCACACCTCTTGTTTTGCTACTGATTTCCTGGAAAGGTGACAGTGTGTGTGGGATGGGGGCACTGCCAGATGTCGGGGCTGTGTAGCCCTGGGTGGCCAGAGGCAAAGTGGGCTTAGGAAGCCTCCTGTTCTGAGAAAGGTCATCAGGAGCCCAGGACAGGGCTGGGTGCTGTTGTCAACAGCAGGGAACAGCACAGCCCAGCAGTGACAAATAATCCTGCAGGCACACCCTCCTCCTGCCACAGACCCCTCAGCCTCCCTGAACGCAGGTTCACCCAGCATGAATGGGAACGAAGCCCAAAGGACACATCTGCATCTTCGCCCACAGCTGGCGATGTGGGCACCTACATGCAGACGCAGGATGCCAGTCATCCCGCTAACCTCTGTGCCCCTTGCAATCACCTGGGCCCCAGTACAGCTCCGAAGCAGGCTGTACCACCCGCGCCCCAGGCAACCCATCTGTGTGAGTACGTGTGCGTCTCATGTGTGCCACAAGCCATGCCCTCTCACCTTCTCAACTTTGAAGGGGACACAAGGCCCCCAAGCCAACCAAGGCCTCCCTCACACCATGGCGTGGGCAAGCTGAGGTATGCTTAAGGAGGAGACCCCTCAGTGGGGGCTCTACCCATGCCAGGCTCTGTGGCCCCAAGCTGACCCTGGGTCATGTTCTCATCCGTAGGCTGTTTGTTCTGTTAGCTAAACACCTGACAGACCTCGTCACACAAATGTTTTTTCATCGGGAACATCTGGAAGCACAGCAAGAACATCTGGGACTGCCCAGAACGAGCTGTGCCTCAGTAAAAGCTTAACCCTCCCATCCCCAATTTCTGCAGCTCAGGTCCTGCCCAGTACCCCTTAAGTGTGCTCGCCCTGTCCTACATAAAACAAGGCCTGGGCCCAGGACTGGGGGCACAAGGGCACCCTTGCTGTGCCCCCAGACCAGGCTGAGATGCCAAGGCCTCCACCCTCTCTCCTGTTCCAGGGTTCAGGACAAGAGAGCCAGGAGCTGCTGGGAGTGGGCTCAGCTGCAGGAGACCCGGTGGGGACTCAGGTTGGGCTCCTATTCTGTGTAGCTGGGCAGGCTGTGCCCTATGCAAGGGCATTGCCCACTTGCCAAAGGGCCACATCCAAGCAGGGGGAGGAGCCAGGCCCCGGGGGCTCCTGAGCATCTTGCTTATTATGTCCATTGTCCTGCTGACCAACAGCCAGACAAGAACCTTGACAATTTGGAGCCAACCCTCCTTGCCCAAGAGCCTGAGGAACAGTGGACAGCATGGCAGTGTCCCCAAGTCCCTGAGTATTAAGCGAAGTCTTTTCTCTATGCCATCTCCTCCCGGAGCCCCCAGAAATCTCCCATTTTCTCCACAGTGCCTGCTGACTTCTCCTGCTCTTGCTCAAGAACTTCTGTGGTTCCCTTGCTCCATGGGGTCAGCTTCCAACATGGGCCGCCCCTCTGCCTCCTCCCCTGTCCTCTTTCAGTACTCTCTTCCTGCATGGCAAGGGCTGGGCCAAGGCACACAAGCCTGATTGCAGCTTCATTCAAGAGCTGCCACGTGCCTGGAAGACAGGCCAGCCAGGTTCTGGTCTTCAAGGGGCTGGCGGAGCTGGGGTCAGCACAAACAAGGGGGAACAATGTAGTCCTTCATCTGCCAGAAGGCTCAAGGCTCACCCCCCGCCAGCTCCCACCTGCTGGGGCTTCCACCAAGCTGGGCAAGTTCCATGCACCTAGCAGCCCAGCTGACAAGAGCCCGCCCTCCCCAGGGTCCCAAGAGAGCTGCTGCCTCCCCTGGGCCCAGATTTGCATGGCAGGAAGGGGCCTGGTGAGGAAGGTGTGGGGAGGGGACGGGCTGCAGCTCGGACAGTTACACGCTTTCCCCAGGAACCTCTCACGGCCTCTTAGGCTTGGGGTCAGGGACGGAGCGGTGACCATGACCCAGCTGGTGCTGTCTCCCACAGCCAGAAGTTGGATGCTGCTGCTGCTGCTGCTCTCAGGTACGACCAAGGCCCGCTGGCCGGCTCTGCTCACCCTCTGTCGGCGCCCACTCAGTCTCCAGCTCGCGCCACTCTCCTCCGGGGCTCACACCTCCTGCCTCCTCTCTCCCTCTGCCTGCTGGGGCCCAGGGCTGTGGGACTCAACCGTGGTGTGTGCTGGGCTTGGGGTTTGCAGCCCCGGAGGGTGGGTATCAGGCTAAAGGGGTACAAAGGGCACCCCAGCCTTGGCAGCTAGGCAAAAGTAAAGGGGTGGAGGTGGGGGCTCAGCCCCAGAAACCTGGGAACATCACATGAGAAGAGGCAAGCAGAGGTTGAGTCTGGGAGATCCCTGTACCAGAAATGTTCCCTTGCTGGCTGGGAAGTCAGGAAAGGTGAAACTTCCTCCTTCATCTCATTTTGGGGCCCACTCAAGGCTGCCCGGAAGCTCAGAGGCAGAGGGGTAGCTGGGAGAGGGCTTCTACCATCCCCATCAGGCTCCTGACTTCTCGGGTTGGGGCAGGGTGGGCTGAGGGGTCTTGAACCTGGAAGGAGGAAGTGGTGCCAGAAACAAGGAGGGCGCAGGGGTGGGGCAGCCACGCAAGGGGAAGGGCCTGATCTTGCCCCGCCCACTTCCTCCCACCCAGCAGGTGAGCCGATGCCAGCTCAAGGCCAGGAGGAGTCCTCAGATCCCAAAGGTCAGTGACCTCACCCACGCCTTCCAGGGGTGAGCATGTCTGTGCGACCAGTGCTGGCCATTGACTCAACTAGGTCTTCATTTCCCTGTCTTCCCATCCGGGAACCTCATCCCCAGGCCTCCTAAGGGAGTATCTCCTTCTAGATGGCCCCACCCCTGGCAGCTGTCATCCTGGTTGGATAAGTGTGCTGTAGTCATGGCCGTGGGAAGAACTCCCTGGGGAGGCCACCTTGGTCTTGGCCCCTGGTGTGAGGGGCTCTAGGTTGTCAAGCTGCCAGGGGACAGGACAGGGCAGGAGGGCCTCAGTGGGCAGCCAGGGAGCTGGCCATTATCCCCAGAGGAGCCAGGAGCCCGTGAGGAATTTCAGCCCAGGGCACTAGAGAGGAGGTAACTGCAGAAGTACCAGCCCAGGCTGCAGGCTTACCTGTGGGATTGCACCCCTGGGTGGGGGCTGGATCTCACTGTTGTCATGAGTATGGAAGGAACAAGAAGGCCCTAGGACCTTCTACAGGAAACTTAATCGGGCGGAGGGGCAGAAGACAGGCCAGGGAAAGCCCTGTGCTTGGACTTGTGGCCACTCACATGGTTCAGTTTCCTTGCACCTCCTTCTTCATACTATCCCATCCTGAGCAGCAGGGATAAGTGAGGAACAGAGCAGGAGCACAGGACGGGGGTGGGGGGAGGCTGGTCTCGGCATCCCCTGAGGTGGGAGCCCTTGGGATACCAAGGCTGGCAGACAGCTGGCAGGATTCTGAATCTGGTCTTGGTGCCCACAGGAAGCACTTGTTCCCGGCTCTGGCAGCATCCACGTTTCATGGCCCAGAAACGAGGCAATGTGATGAAAGTGCATTGCTATGCCAACAACTCCCTTAACTCCAGCTCCATACAGTGGTTCTGGAAGCCAAAGATGGACGTAGACCTGCAACCGTTGCCAAAGGAAAATGACCGCATCCAGTGGACCACTAACAGCACCTGGTCCACCCTCACCCTCCAGGACGTCCAGTTTGAGGACAACGGCTTCTACGTCTGTGGGGGTCAATGCGTGAACGGCACAGACAAGGTCTTGGGCTTCGCCACGGAGCTGCGAGTCATGGGTGTGTGTCCGTGTGGAGCGGGGTGCTCCTACAGCCACCTGAGCCAGGGAGAGATGCCGCCTGGAGAGTGGCCACGGCCATTATCTCCCCAGGGAAGCAAGGCTGGGGGTGGGCTCCCTGGAGGACCCTGAGCCCAGCCTCATGCCCCCTCCCCCAGGGTTCAGCAGCTTGGCGCAGATGAAACGACGAAACACATTGAAAGATGGCATCATCATGATCCAGACCCTGCTCATCATCCTCTTCATCATTGTGCCCATCTTCCTGCTTTTGGACAAGGTGACTGCCAGCAGGCAGGGCTAGTTCTGGGGGGCTGGGGAGGGGCCCTGGGCGGGGTGGCTGGACGTGGCCAGGGTTTCCCACTGACACTGTTGACTCAATCACTCAGCCAGTCGGTCATTCTTGAACAATGCACCTGACTCTGGCCTGCACCCTGGCCCTCCTCAGCCAGGCTCAATGGGAGACAAAGTCATGGAAATGCTAACACTCGCCCCTCCATCCCACCCCTCCCCCAAACAGGATGATGGCAAAGCCGGGATGGAGGAAGACCACACCTATGAGGTAAGGGGCAGGAGTGCCAACAGCCCAGGCCACCATCTGTGGATGTGGTCAGGGGATGGTCCAGGCCTGACCTCCGTTTCTTGTCTCTAGGGCCTCGACATTGACCAGACTGCTACCTATGAGGACATAGTGACCCTGCGGACAGGAGAGGTGAAGTGGTCTGTGGGCGAGCACCCAGGCCAGGAGTGAGGGATGTTCTCCCCAACCGTGCCGTGCACAGCGCATGGGCCCTTCTGGATGCTTCCGAGGTGCCACGCCCTCCTCCTGGACCCCACGTTTGCCTCCCAAGCCAGCCCGCCAGAGCTACCTGCCCCTCCGGGCCCCAGAACAGAAGGACAGCAGGGGTCGTGGTTTGGAGTGGGGCAAGCTGTATGGGATGTCGTCGCTGTGGTCAGGGGACACAAGGCAGAGACTTGAGCAGAACTGGCAGATGGACTCAGAGCCCAGTAACTTCCAGCTGAGCCTGGACAGGCTCAGGCATCCCCTCCGGGCCCCAGGAGGGCCCCCAAGAACTTCATTCCACTCTCCCATCCTCCTCATTCTCACAAGGAATAAAGGATGTGTCGTGTGAACCGACACACAGAGGTGTGATATCTGTGGCGTGCGGTGGATGGCATTTATCTGGTCATGTCTGGAGTTGTGGCACCTGTGGGCCTTGGGGCAGGGCTGACTGCCATGGTCGCCCTCTGCTCCCACCTGAAGGCCTAGTAGCGACCTATGATACCCTGCTGCCTGGTTGGCTCCTGCCCTAATTGGGCCTGCGGGAATGATAGAAAAGCGGAGGTTGAGCTGGGGCCTTTAGCCAATACGTAGTGGTGGAAACCTGCTGCATTTGGGGCATTTTTGTCTTCTTAAAAACGTATTTATTTTATTTGAAAGGCAATTACACAAAGAGAGAGGTGGAAAGATTTTCCATCTGCTGGTCCACTCTCCCTAAAAGCAGCAATCACCAGGGCTGAAGCCAGAAGCCAAGAACTCCATCCGAGTCTCCCCCATGGGTGCAGGAGCCCAAGCACTTGGGCCATCTCTGCTATTTTCTCAGGGGGCGTTTGCAGGGAGCTGGTTGGGAAGTAGAGAAGCTGAAAGTTAAACTGGCACTCAAATGGAATTCCACATTCCAGACAGTGTGTTTAACTAGCTGTGTCACCTTATATCAGCCCCAAGGCTTGAGGGTCCTGCCCTCCCCCACCTCACCCAATCCAACTGTCCTTCAAGACCCTCCGCCTGCAGGAAGCCCTCCTAAGACATTCAGTTGGTTTCCTAGCCCTGTTAAGCCTGTGTCCATGTAGCCAGACCTCAGCTGCAGTGGTGCTTGGATGCCAGCCGTGGTCCTCCAATTAGACTGGAAGCACCCTCAGGGTAAGGCGTCCACTGCCCCATCACAACCCCCACTCCATCCCTCAGCCTCCCTCTAAGCCCCAGGCCTATGTGTGTGCTTCAAGCTTGAACTCGAGAAGGGAGACTCTATGTGGTGACATTTGGGGGTCCTTACCCAGATAACCCTTTTAGGCTTTCAAAGGTGATGGAAGGACCCAGTGTGATGACTCAGCTGGCTGATCTTCCACCTCCAGGTGCTGGCATCCCATATGGGCAGGGAGTTCCTGTCCTGGCTGCTCTACTCCCCATCCAGCTCCCTGCTTATAACCTGGAAAAGCAGTGGAGGATGGCCCAAAGCCTTAGGACTCTGCACCTGCAGTGGAGACCCAGAAAAAGCTTCTGGTTTCTGGCTCCTGGCTTTGGATTATCTGAGCATTGGCTGTTGTGACCATTTGGAGAGTAAACTAGCAGATGGAAGATGGTTCTCTGTTTCTCCTTTTCTCTGTAAAGCTGCCTTTTCCAATAAAAATAAATAGGCCTTTAAAAGGTGGGGGGGGGGGAGCTTATATCAGAGGCTCCCTGAGGCCCAGGATACCCATAAAGTGACCATAGGGTCCTTCAAGTTACAGCCAGGCCTGAAGGGCAGCACATTGATCAGCAGCAGCCCCCAGCTGGAAGTGGAGTCGGCTCCATTTCCAACAGCACCCCAAGTAGTTCACAAGCTCCCCTCTGCAGCTTTGTGTGCTGTGGGTCCAGGCAGGGAATCCCTGTCCTCAGGGAGCCACTGCTTTAACTGCCATGCCTGGAACCAGCCAGGGTGGCCGCCAGGGTTTGGCTGGTTGTGGGTCTGGGTTTCCTGTTGGAGAACGCAGGTAAGGCACTCGTGCCTGGGAGCTTCCGGTCAGCCTCTCCCTGCCACCATCCACCACGTGGCTGGGCCAGGTGGTGCTCCCTGCCTGGAGGAGGGAACAGGCTTGTTTTGGCTGCTGCCTCCACTGAGCTGGAGCCCTGGCTTTCCTGCTGCTTTGCATAGCGGCGCTAATTCTGTCGCCCAGCCTCCACCGGGGGCCCAGGCAGCAGCCGCCTGGGTGGAGGAGTCTTCACTTCTGCAAGCGGGGTCTCCCCAGCGTGGGCTGCCCCGGGGCAGAGCAGCAATTGAACATGGCCGATTCACCGGTTTTCTTTGGGCCTGGAAGTAGAGGCCCTTGGTGGCCTGGGATGCTGGTTGGGAAACTTACAGCCCAGGATGCGGGGTGTACCTTATGGGTGCTTGACCCCAGGACTGGGTGATGATAAGTGTGTGCTGGAGAGGTGGGGAGACCAGAGATGGTGACCCTCTCAGGCCTCAGTTATGACATCTGTGGAGTGGGAGCCATGACGTCTAGCTGAGGGAAAAGAGCTGAACCAGATGCTGTTTTCTGTCATGAGCACACGATCAAATTGGAACTGCTTTCTTTGGCTACACAGTTCAGTGCGTTGTAGCACCTGCGTGGAAGCACACACTCACTGCCACGATCGGAACACACAACACAGACCAAAAACGTTTCCATGGGGCCCAAGAGCAGTACAGCCAGGGCCTCCTGAAGGCCACTGATTCTTTATACCCAGCACCTCCCGCTCCGTTTTGCCCTGTTTACAAACAAGTAAATGGAGGCCTGGAGAAATTACCGGAAGTGGCCAGGAAACACAGACACACACACACAGGCTTTCCGATCCACACCCGTGTTCTTTCCACTGAAGCAGGGGTGGCCCCCCTGAGGGACTCAAAGGGCAGAACCCGGGAAGGCTCGACTTTTCAAGAGAACTGCCCTTCCCAGCAGTCACAGCTTCTCAAGCCCCACCCCTATCAGCAGGGCCTTGCTGGGCCTCCCCGCAGCCTCAGCAGGGTGTTATTGGGTCCTTTTCCAGGAGTCCAGCTCTGAAACCCTCCCACCACTTCCCATCTGACCCCCCTCCCCACTAGATGGCAACTCCAAGGCCCTTGGTGGCCACATGCCCCACTGCCCACTGGGGGAATCCTGCCACGTCCCTGGGGACCCTGGGGTAAGCACAGGCTGGTTCCTCCTCCACACTAGCTTGACTTCCGGCCCGCTCCCTGCAGGTGCGGCTAGGGTGATCGGGCCCAAGGGTTTGGGTGTTTTTCCAGCAGCGGGAGTTGCAACAGAAAGCAAAACACAAGGCACGAGGCCACTGCTGTTTGGTGGCAAGAGCAGGCAGGGTTCACCTGCTAGCAGGTGTCTGGCCTGGCCGGGTCTCAGGTGCAGGCCTCAGAGGCCCTCCTGGAGCGCCCCCCCACACTGGGGGTTGGGGGAGTTGGGGGTCCCTGGAGTCTGTGTCATCTCCTTAGGTCACCTCTCCAGGGTCCAGAACCAGAGTTCTCAGCTGAGATTCCTGGCGGTGGCTCGAAAGTCCAATGTGCGGTTCTGGGGACGGCCCCCTGGAGTCCTGCCCGTTGAGTCAGTGAAAAACCACAACAACCCTCCCCTTTGGGACACCCAGCTGCTCTCGCCAACCCAAAAGCCCGTGCTGCTTGGTGACCACAGAGGACAAACCCTAACGTGCATTAGAGTCCAAGTTCAAGGCGAGCATGTTTTGTGAATATCCATTTAGACGGCTCCTAATATCACAGGATTGGGAGCTGTGCGGCCTCTCCTTAAAAATTATGTCTTTTTTTTATTATTATTTAGTTTTATTTATTAGAGATCTTGCATCCTCTGGCTCTCTCAAAGTTACGAGATGAAGCAGAAACCAAAGGCTTGGAACTCAAATCACCGATGGGGACCCCAGGACTTGAGCCACCCTCGGCCACTCCCAGGGCACCCAGGAACAGGAAACTAGAACTGCGTGAAGAACCAGGACTTGAATCCAGGCATTCTGACGTGAGCTGTGTGCCAGATACCTGCCAGTTTCCAGAAGGCACATGTGAAGCACCCGGCCTTGGCCACTTTCTCATTTACTCATTTTCACGTACCTGTCATTGTACATTCAAGTTCCTGTCTTCATTGATGATGGCAAGACATCACAGGGTCGGCCTTACCATGCTCAGCCAAGTGAGCATTCAAGTTCTTTTCTCGGGGTTGTCCTCCCATTCGTTCAATCCACTCAGTAAGCGTAGGCGGAATTCCTGGAGCCAGGGGTGTGCCTGCTGCCCAGGCCTCCCACTTCCTTTTCCTGTCCTTGCCAGCTGATTCCTTCGTGGTGGTTTTCCCACTCTGTGCGCATTTATTACATAGTAATGGGTTTTCTGTTGCCTGTCTCGTGGGTTATAAACCTGGGAAGAGAAAGGATGGAACCTTCCGGCGTGACAGAGTGCATGAGTGAATGAAAGGCAGAATCTGGCCTCCAGGAGCCAAGAGCCTGGGATGGGGAATGAGACGACCACACAGAATCAAAGGACAAGATAAAGGTGGGCCAAGTCCTCACCAGCCTAAGTCCAGGAAGACTCCCCCAACTCACTATGAGTACTTAGTACTTAGTGCTCTACTTAGTATCTTAGTACCTACACCTCAGTACTTCTTTTTCAAGTTACGTACATTGTCACATACTTCTAGATTGTTCCAAGACCGTCAATCTGCGTAAGCAACACCTCCATTGATGGACAAGACTGCCTGCCTCGGTCCTCCCCCTGTACGCCGCCCCCCCCACCACCTCCCAGAGCCCTTCCCCCATGCTTGAGCCCCCGCCCACCCGGCTGCGTCATGCAGCCCAGTCAAGGGTCCAGTGAGATACAGGAAGCGAAACACCTTGCACAGTGAAACGTGCGACCCAAGTGTGGCACGCTTCACCGAGCCAGGCCTCGGCTTGTTTTTTTCTGCCGCTGTCCTCAGCGTCTGGGGACCCCTCATTCTGGGGCTGAAGTGTTTTGTGTTCCGTTCCCACCACCTCCACTGTGCATCTGCTGGGTTTGCATTAAGTCCTGTCCATGCTTGCTAGGCAGTGCCGCCATCTTGATCAGATCAGGCATCCCAAGAGCCTGGTGTGACAGAAAGGCCAGGAACCTGAGGTAGACATCTCTTAGCAACCCCAGTAAGCTGCTGCCTCTCTCGCTCCTTTTAGAAAGTTTATTTATTTTTATTGGAAAGTCAGATTTCCAGAGAGAAGGAAAGAAGAAAAATCTTCCATCTGCTGGCTCACTCCCCAAGTGGCTGCAACAGCCAGAACTCAGCATCTGAAGCCAGGAGCTTAAGTCTGTCTTCCAGGCAGGTACAGGATTCCAGAGACCTAGACCATCCTCTGTTGCTTTCCCAGGCTGCCACATTTTAGAGCCCCCTGTCCTCAGCCATGACCCTCACCCTTAGGGTTCTATCACCATCTTCCCTACCTCCCATGCAAAGTCCCTGGGAATCCAAACAAGGGACTCTCCCCAAGACCTTGACCCAGTGGGCTGGTGGAAGGTATTGGATGCCAAGACAGGACATCAGAGGCTTCTGAAAGCAGCACCTGGTGTCAAGGAATGAAAGATGGAGCCAGAGGGGTCATGGGGGCATCAGATCACCAAGGGAGCAGTGGAGAGAGCCACCACAGGCTCCTGGAGGCTCTGCAAAATGGCATTGCCCCAGCACCAGAGACTTGAACTTCAGAGGCCACCTCAGGCTCAAGAGCAGATCTGAGCCCTTCCACAGTTTGCCTGGAGCCCCCACCCCAAGAGAACTGGAAGGGAACGCAGGTTGTAGACAGGGTACTCTTAAACAACTGGGGAAATCACCGCAGGCCTCCTGATGCTGCCCTCCGAGGTGACCACCCTGACCTCTCTCCACCAGCTGTGCGCAGCCCTGGGCGCTGGCCTGAGTGGTGCCCCAGGAGCAGGCACTCCTGGCGACCCCAAATCTAACCTGCAGTTCATCTTCTGTGCATGTGATAAAGTCTTAAAAGGCGCAGGTAGGGACAGCCCCCCCCCTGCCCCCACCCACAGACCCCACACACTGGACCTCTCTGTTGAGTGTCCCCATTGAGAGGGTCTCCTCTGTCCCTCCTCTCATCCCCGTCCTTGGCAGTCACCTATCTGGTGGGAGCCACTGCCACCTCTCGTGTGCCCACCTGTGTGGCCAATGAGTGGTCCCCTCACTCGGCTCCTGCTGGCCTTGCTGCACACATGAGCCCCAACATTGGCTGGCACTGCTGCCACTCAGGAGTTGTGCCCACGCCCCACGCACACCCCAGGAGGGAATAGAGGCAGGAGAGACGTGGGACCCTCCCCTCCCATCCTACCTAGACCCCTCATGGTAGCAGAGATAGAAACAGGAGATGAGAGATACCCTCATCCTCTTCCTCACTGTCCGTGTGTCTCCCAGCAGCCCCCCGCGACCCTCCCACAGTTCCCACTGTGCCAGTGCCTGACCAGCATGGGCAGCAGGGAGGCCATCGGGGCATCTGCTGGGCAGCAGTGCTGAGAGATAAAGGGGTTTTATCTGCTGGTGCTGGGGAGGGCGAGGCCCTAGCACCCACATTCTGCATCCCAGTGGGGTGAGCGGGCAATGTTGGTGCCAGCATTCTAGTCAGCCACTTACCTGCAGGGTCAAGTGCTGACCCTTTTTAGACTCGGGCAGAAGGATGGGACATGTGGAAATCTGTTCTTAGGAAAGAAGAGCTCTTGTCCCCCACCCTTCCCAGGCATGTTCGGTACTGAGCACCAGAGGCCTGGAAGCCACAGTCTTGGCCTTCTCGGTTCTTTGCCTCTGGCCCCTGCTCCTCCCTACCCACTCCCACCCCACTCCCGGGAGGCCACTGAGCTGTTGTGGCTGAGGGAACTGAAGGAGAACAGCCTGCTCATTCAAGGAAGCCAAAGCAAGGGGCTACGTGAGGACAGCCAGGGCCCCTATCGTCAGCAGACTGAGAAGCGATAGGCCCTGAGTGGCATTGCGCCATCCTCCGGGATGGGGAGGCATGGGAAGCCACCGCCATGCAGGTCGGCTGCCTTGGTTGAGTTGGCGCGTGAAAGTCTCTCTGTGATATGAGCCAATGTCTCCTTTCAAAAGGGGATGAGGAGGGCCTCGTGTGAGGAGGCCGGGGCAGGCCTCTTGCACTCCACACACGCTGTGCAGGCAGGAAAAAGCAGAGGAGACTGTGTGGCATGACAGAGTCCTGTCCCCCGAGTCCTTGCACGGGGCAGAAAATAACCCCCTCAAGGGCTCTTTTGACTTGGAGATTCTCTGAGGTTTCAGGGTTAAAGGAGGAAGCACTTGTGGGCCGCGTCTGTCCCTGAGCTTCCTGCTTCTTGGTTTGTGTCAAGTCCAGGGACTCAGGCAGCATCTCAGGGCAGGTCCTCTGCCCCAGCCCTGGGGGGGAGCCCCGGCTCTGTGGAAAGGCAACGTGTGGGGCTGCTGCCTCCTGGTGGGCATCACTGGTACTGCACCCAGCTGCTTCCAGCCTGCCCAGGTGGCCATGGAGAGAAGCAGGTGCACTCTGGCCAGGTCAGGACTACCCGGGGGGTCCATTGGCCCTCAGCAACCATCTTTCTCAACACACACACACACACACACTCTCTCTCTCTCTAGGGTTAGGGGGAGGAGAGAGATTGGGAGGGGGTCGCAAAGCCATTCTGCCATGACCCCCCTTCCTGGGAACCAGGTTGGACCCTCTTTACCCTTTGGGACGAGCCCCCAAGGGCCTCATGCTGGGGGGATGCAGGCCACAACCCTGGATTCAGAACACACTTTCCTACCCCTCCTTCTCCCAAAGAGGATGGGCCTGGTTGGAGACCCCGCGTGCACCCTCACGGGACTGGTGACGGTGGCACGGGACCGATGACGGAGCTGGGTTCATGGCCCCCGAGGGAGGAGAGCGGGCACAGGATGAGTGGGAGGCGCTCCTAAATTATCCATCAGTACAGGCCGGTAGGGCCCCTGCATAAATGGATGGCAAGCCTGGTGTGGGGGCCAGAGCTAGGGTATAAAAAGGGGTTGTGAGGGACCAGTCTCAAAATCCCAGGGACCAGTTTCCCACAGCACTCCTGCTCTGTGGACACCTCAACCCACCATGATGGCTGCAGGTAAGGCCAATCAACCCTGTGGGAAATGGTGCAGAGATGGGGGACCTGCAGATGCAAGGCGACTGAGCCTCAGCCTTGGGACTTCTCCTCGTGAACATACCCATCTATGCCCAATGCTCAGACCTTTCTAGAATGTTCTCAGTCCATGGAGGCTGCCAGGAACCCTGGGATGTAGCCTTGGATACCATCTGGTCTCTCCCTCTAGGCTCTCAGACCACCCGCCTCCTGGTTTTTGCTCTACTGTGTCTGCCCTGGCCTCAGGAGGCCAGCGCCTTCCCGACCATGCACTTGTCCAGCCTGTTTGCCAACGCTGTGCTCCGTGCCCAGCACCTGCACCAGCTGGCCGCTGACACCTACAAGGAGTTTGTGAGTTCTCCTGGGAATGGGGCACAGGGGGCAGCCAGCAGAACTGGGGTGGGGTGGAAGGGGAAACTGGGGGGCTGCTAGGGGGTGGGTCCAGGTGTGGATGGGGTGCAAAGGCTGTCCCCTCAAAGCGGCTGGGATGTCAGCAGGTGACCCTCCACCCGCACCCCTAGGAACGTGCCTACATCCCTGAAGGCCAGCGCTACTCCATCCAGAACGCACAGGCGGCCTTCTGCTTCTCGGAGACCATTCCGGCCCCCACGGGCAAAGACGAGGCCCAGCAGAGATCCGTGAGTGTCAGAGGGACCTGCCTGTGGGACGTTCTGGCCTGTACGGCAGAGGTGGGAGCAGGTGCAGGAGGAGGCCCCGCCTACCCACCTGCTCCGCTGCCTCGCCCGCAGGACATGGAGCTGCTGCGCTTCTCCCTGTTGCTCATCCAGTCATGGCTGGGGCCGGTGCAGTTCCTCAGCAGGGCCTTCACCAACAGCCTGGTGTTCGGCACCTCGGACCGCGTCTACGAGAAGCTCAAGGACCTGGAGGAAGGCATCCAGGCTCTGATGCGGGTGAGGCCGGCACGGGAGGGGCAGGGAGACAGCAGCCGGGCCCTGGCTCGGAGAACGCCCCTTTCCCTCAGTTTCCATCTTAACTCCCACTCCCTGAGCAGTCTCTAAGCCCTGGAGGGGAGCGATGACCGGAGGGACAGTTGCCCAGGCCCCTCTCCTTTTTGTACCATCCGCAGGAGCTGGAAGACGGCAGCCCCCGGGCCGGACAGATCCTGAGGCAAACCTACGACAGGTTTGACACGAACCTGCGGGGCGACGACGCGCTGCTCAAGAACTATGGGCTGCTCTCCTGCTTCAAGAAGGACCTGCACAAGGCCGAGACCTACCTGCGGGTCATGAAGTGCCGCCGCTTCGTGGAGAGCAGCTGTGCCTTCTAGGGCGACCCCTCCTCCTCTCCCCCCACCTCCCCAGCACCACCCCTGTCCCTGGGAAGGGAGTTCTGGTGCCCACCTGCCTCATCCTAATAAAATGAAATTGCATCATGGCATCTGACTAAGCGACTTTCTTCTTTTTAAGATTTATTTTTATTGGAAGGACAGGTTTACAGAGAAAGATTGCCCATCCGCTGGTTCACTCCTCAAAAGGCCACACGACCAGAGCTGGCCCCATCGGTGGCCAGGAGCCCCTTCCAGGTCTCCCAAGCGAGTGCAGGGTCCCAAGGAGTTGGGCCATTTTCTGCAGTTTTTCAGGTCATAAGCAGCGAGCTGGATGGGAAGTAGAGTAGCCAGGACTAGAACCCATGCCTATGTGGGATGTCAGTGTTTGCAGGCTGAGAATTAGCCTGTTGAGTCACCATGCTGACCTCTAAATATATTTACACTATAGAACAGCAGGCGGCAGTATGAAGCAAAATGGCAGGATTGGGAGGTGTTATTGGAAGCCCGGCTGCTGACCATATACCATCCCGGCTCTTCTGGGGCTTGACCAGAAGTGACGTACCGCTCTTTGCAACTCACACCAAGTCCATGGCCCCAGGCCTGTTGGCTTCCCACCTGACTTGGCAGTCATGGATCAACTCTAGAGAAGCCCTTGGCTGGGGGTGGGATTCAGGGGTGGTCCTCCTTGTTATGCCAGCTCCAGTAACAGCAAGGAGGCACCTCAGGAGGCCAAGACTCCAAGCAGAAGAAAGGCGAGGCAGGCCGTGGGTGTCCATGTGGGAGCTCTCTGAGGAATTGGGAACCCTGCAGGAAGAGGATGTTGGGATCTGAGAGCCTGGATGAGGGGGTGTCCTCAGGGGCCAGGTGGACATCACAAAGGGCAAAGGCAGACACTGACAGTCAACCGGCCAGCATGGGGTTTGAGGCAGAGGTTGGAGAGCCCCAGCATAACCAGAAGTCAGAGTCCAGCCTCTCCCCGACTCAGGACTCGGGGAGCCCAACTGGCAGGATAGCCGAGGTTTCGGGTGAAATCTGAGGGTTAAACATGGGCAGCTAATCTGTCCATTTTAAAAAATATATTTATTTACTTTTATTGGAAAGGCAGATCAAATCTACAGAAAGGAGAGACAGAGAAAAAATTCTTGCATCCACTGATTCACTCACCCGAATGGCTGTAACATCAGAGCTGGGCCAATCCAAAGCCAGAAACTTCTTCTGGGTCTCCGAGGAGATGCAACGGGCCAGTGGAGTCACACCCTACAAGGGTTGTTTGGGATTCATGCACGTACCTGAGTGGCAGGTAGGGTAGGGGTGAGGCTTCGGCGTGTGAGAAAGCTGTTTCCAGGTCATCGTGAACTTCACGGGCCGCTGATTCTGAAAACTGGGAATATTTTCAGTAAAGTTCTGCATCTGTATGTGGGAGGAGCAGGAATCTGCCCTGGAGGTTGTGTTGGTGCTCCTCCACTGTGACTGGCCCCTCCTTCCCCAGTCGGCCCTACGGAACACCCCTCGCCCTAGGTAATAACAACACATTGTTCACAAGAGTTTCTGAAGTGACTGATGTGTGACGTAGCGTGGCCTTGAATTTGCGGCTTTGTTTATGATCTGGCTAAGGGTGACTGTTCCACAAAGGCCCATGTACTTGACAGGGTGGTCCCCAGCTCCTTAGGGTAATGGGTATATGTTCATGGTGTATGGATTAAGAATGGGGACTTGGGCCCGGCGCGGTGGCGCAGTGGTTAAGGTCCTCGCCTTGCACGCCCGGGATCCCATATGGGCGCCGGTTCTAATCCCGGCAGCCCCGCTTCCCTTCCAGCTCCCTGCTTGTGGCCTGGGAAAGCAGTCGAGGACGGCCCTAAGCTTTGGGACCCTGCACCCGTGTGGGAGACCTGGAAGAGGCTCCTGGCTTCGGATCGGCATAGTATCAGCGGTTGCACTCACTTGGGGAATGAATCATCGGACGGAAGATCTTCCTCTCTGTCTCTCCTCTCTGTATATCCACCTTTCCAATGAAAAAATAATAAAAATAAATTTTAAAAAAAAGAATGGGGACTTGATGGGATTATGCCAGCCAGCTGTGATCCCAGGGGAAGTTAGTTCTGGCAAGAAGGTTGGCTGGTTTTACAAGCCATGGCTGCCCAGCTGTCTGCTCTTCCTAGCACGTGTCATCCTGCCTTTTCCAACTGTGACATTCCAAACACGTGAGCCTGAGTCATCAGCTTGCTTCCTAAGCAGCGTCTTGCTGCCATTTACGACCTCTGAACACTTTTTACGGTCAAGTTGTCCATTCCTGATGGTGTCTCACATGGTTCTTATTTTCAGATGAACTTCACACAGCTGTGGCTAAAGCTTTCTGGGTGTGTCTAGTCTCCAAGCACCTTGGCTCACTGTCTGGAGGCCCATGAACGAATCCGTACAGCTTGGGGTACTAGCCAAAAATGATTTCATGAGGGTCCAGAATTCTATTACAGCACAAATGATCAGCTCGCTAATTAATCCTGAGAAATTCACAGATCTATGGGCTATCACTGATCTTTACAACAGTACCCGGTGTCATTTTCAAATGTCTCACATTTGATAAGACTTGGATAGTGGTTTAGAATTGGAATCACCACAACTGCAAGCTTGAGGTCTTAAAAACTGTGCCTGCGTCTTCAATCATTTGTTCATTGTTTGCCTGGAAAAATCATTTTGGGGAAAGAAGCACTTGACTTTGAGGGCAAACCTGTCCATTTCCACAGAGGACTCTCTCTCTCTGCTGCAACCACAATTTGTGCAGCATTAGAACCCCAGGAATCACCATCAGGGAAGTGTTTCTTAGTATTAAGTTGGAATCAATATCTTGTAACATCCCTCCTTTCATTTGGAACTATACAGAAACCTCACAGCTGTTAGAGAAGTATGTCTCAGCGTGAATGTTCTCAAAGGAAATAGAAGCCATTGTAGTGTTGGAGAATGACCGTGGCTGGCAAGTTCATTGGGTCCCAATGGGACAGTGTTCTAACTATGGGGGGTGTCTCAATTTACAATGGAGCTGTACCTGGTAAGCAATGTCAGTTGGAAATGGGAGTAATGTCCCAAGCTTCAGGACATCCGGGCAACGGCCTGGCTTCATTGTGGAGTGGTGGGAGCCATGTTGCTGCCACTGCCATGCAACGTAAGACAAGATTGGACATCGCAGCACTAGCCTGTGGAAAGGGCCAAATTCCAACTCCAAAGCGCAGTTCTCGATGGACTTGTTCCACACTTGCACTGCTTTTAAAGATGAAAACGGAATCCTAAATTGAAACACCCATGGTACTAAGGAGTTTCCTACAGTAGAGGTGCCATAACAGCACTGGACAGCAGAGGGGGCCAGACCAGGATGCAGTTCTTGGCTCCCAGTGCAGGACAAGGCCCAGCAGAGATCTGTGAATGGTGGAAGGACAGAGAAGGACCTCAGGCTGGCCTAGCCTGTGAGGCGCAGTTGGGAACAGGAGCTGGGTGGCCCCACCCCAATCATCTCCACCTCCTCGCCTGGCTGACAGGACATGGAGCTCTCTGTAACTCTTTATGTATTCCATTGGAAAGGAAGACTTAGAGAGAGGAGACAGAAAGATCTTCTGTCTGATGGTTCACTCCCCAAGTGACTACAACAGCCAGAGCTAAGCTGATCCAAACCCAGGATCTCCTCCAGGTCTCCTACACGGGTGCAGGGTCCCAAGGCTTTGGGCTGTCCTCCACTGCTTTCCCAGGCCACAAGTAGGGAGCTGGATTGGAAGTGGAGTACTTGGGATACAACAGGTGATCATATGGGAAGCCATTCTTGGAGGTGGAGGATTATCCAGTTGAGTCAAGGTGTGCCCCTCTGTAACTCTTTCCAATAAAAATAGATTTAAAAACAAAATGACAAGGAGACTAGCATTTGGCACAGGTATGCTCATATCCCATCTCAGTATGCTAGGTTCAAATCCCAGTTACTCTGCTTCCAACTCAGCTTCCTACTGTGTCTTGCCTAGGAGGCGGTGGTTGATGACTCAAGAACTGGAGTCCCTGGCACCCATGTGGGAGACCCAGGTTGGTATCCTGGTGCTTGCCTTCAGCCTGGCCCAGACCTGTTCTGGGTATTTGGAGTGACAAGATCACAGAAGCACTCTCTGCCTTTTAAATACAATGAAATTTTTTTTGTAAAAAAATTAAGAATTGGAGGTGCTGGGCCCGGCGCGGTGGCGCAAGTGGTTAAAGGTCCTCACCTTGCACGCCCGGGATCCCATATGGGCGCCGGTTCTAATCCCGGCAGCCCCACTTCCCTTCCAGCTCCCTGCTTGTGGCCTGGGAAAGCAGTCGAGGACGGCCCAAAGCTTTGGGACCCTGCACCCGCGTGGGAGACCCGGAAGAGGCTCCTGGCTTCGGATCGGCATAGTATCGGCCCGTTGCGCTCACTTGGGGAGTGAATCATCGGACGGAAGATCTTCCTCTCTGTCTCTCCTCTCTGTATATCTGCCTTTCCAATAAAAAAATAATAAAAATAAATCTTAAAAAAAAAAAAAAAAAAAAAAAAAGAATTGGAGGTGCTGTATGACCCCGGATTGTACGAACCTGGCAGGGGATGGAAAGAAAACTGGAAGAGATTCTGAATGTACAAGAGCCTGGCCCACCTGTGGAGGGCCTCTAGGACTGCTTAACCTAAACTCTGGGCCCTGCGATCCTGGACACCCACACAGGGAGCTGCCTGCAGCTGTCTGGGCCCAGCACTGCAGTGTCCTCCCTCAGCTCTGCGGCTGCTGACCTGCTGGATGGACGAGGCTGCCTGTGAACAGGGCACCCCGGGGCTCCGCCAAGCAAAGGCCCCAGCAGGCTTAGCATCCAGCTAACTGTGGGAAGCAGGCAGTCCCACGTTCAGGCTTCTCCCATTTGGATTTACGGTGCCTCAGGGTACTGGGCCCAGAGGTGGGGGTTTGCAGGGTGGCATGGTGCCTGTCTGGTGCTCTTGATTCTGATGCGGAAATGGCTAGAGAAGCTTCCCCCAGCTTAGGCTGCCCCGTACCGCTCTTCTAAACCAGCTGCCTTACTTCTCCAAATGCTCAGTTCTCGAAGTTCTTGGTCTGTCTCTTGCTCTGTCCTTCAAGTAGATAAAAATATTTTTTTAATTTTTAATTCTTTGAAGATACTTTTAAAAAGCTTTCAACAATGACACAAAAGGAAAATACATTGATTCAAAATTAATCATTTTAATTTTTCCAATAACCAACATTTCCAACATTTCATGACTGATTTGGAAGAAAATAACTGTTTTTGGTGATTCTTCATGCCTTCTCCAAGGATGAGCGCACATGCTCAGACAAGCTGAATCACAAAATCACACAGGGACACGGGGACAAGAGGACCGCGCCCCACGTTCACTTTGTAGACAGACGAAAACACCGGTTTCTCTGTGAAAACGGTGAGTAAACATTTGAAACTCTGACCTAAAGACCCGTGGGGTAAAAAAACAGTGCATGCGGAGATGATTACGATGGTTTAGGAAAAGGAATTGAGAGCTGCTTGGGGCCCCAAATCTGTAAGGATTCAAGGAACAGCGTGAGCTTTCACTCCGGGCTGACAATTTTAAGCTAAGGAAGTTACTACCTGATCCACAGGGCCCACTAGATAGCCACACACAGACACTTGATGTTGTCTTCAAGCTCGGCTCTGGACCGTGGCATTCCAGAGCCACAGGGCAGAGGAGCCAAAGAAGGTGGGTATGGAAACAGAGTTGTCATTCTTACCCTTCGGTTTAGTTCTTGCCCTCTTTAAAGCTCTGGTTTCAGACTAAGAAAATTCGTTATCAGGAAATCATGAGAAATGACTTGCTCTATGCTGCTTCCGATTATCTCTTTAATTTGGTGTTTGGGAGAAAGTAGAAATAATTTTTTTTTTTTATCTTGGCAAGATGCCAGAGATCTCACTGGCTGCATACTGACAATGGAAGCACTGGTGGCAGAGTGAACATCAGGGAGAAAGGCGAGGGTCTGGACAGCGAGAGCCCGGGGGCCTGGAACATTGCTTTCTGGGACGGGGGACACCGACAGCAACACGACCTCACGTTGTTTCTCCTCTAGCCACCCTTCTCTCCCCGGGAACTCAGAGGCAGCAGTCCTGCTCAGTCCTGGAGCTGCTTTGAGTTAACAGTGATGCCAGTCACATTGCTCGGCTGGTTGACCTGCAGCCGGTCCTCCTCCTCTTGGCTCTCTGCTTGCTGCCTGTAGGGCAGCTTCCTCTTCTTTATTTTGCAGGGCTGGTAGTTCAAGTACAGAGCGAGGGTGACTACACCGACTCCCAGGGCGGCAATGATGATGATGAAGATGGTGGAGCTGACTCCTTCTTCTAACCCTGCTCAAGCGCAAAAGACGAAGAATTGGGAAGTTTAATAACTCCACTCCACCCCACCCCTCCCACTTCTCGTCCCATCTTCCCCAACACAGTCACCCTTTCTTCTTCCTGTGCCCCTGCCCCGGGGCACTGCCAGCTGGACCAGGTAGAGCTCACCTAGCACGAGGACCCTGATGTCCTTGCTGACGGAGCCCAGCTTGTTGGTGGCAGTGCAGCAGTAGAGGCCGGTGTGGTTCTTGGTTGCTTTCTGTGGCACACCTGGGGGGAAGAGCACCCCCTTCCAGGTGCACACCACGGCTGGAGCCGGATTGCCCTTCGGAACACAGGCCAGCCTCTGCTCTAGCCCTTCCACCCACGTCTGGTTGCCAGGGCAACTGGATTCCTCTAACCGCGGCTCATCTGCAAAAGAGAGGCCCCCCAGAAACGTGCTAAGCCCACCACGCCCTGCTCCCTCGCACCCTCATCCTCACCTCCTTTTCCTTCTCTCAATCCAAATGCTGTCCCTTCCACCCACAGCTCACTCCCTCCAACGAAGGACTGTCAGCTCCCTCCTCTGGGACACTGTTACAGACGGACTAAACGCTGACACTGCTCCGTCAGGGGTCAGCCCGGTGGTCCTGCTCCCACCTTTGTTTCGAAGGTGAGGAGCTGGATGGGGCTGACTTTGCTACTTTTCAAACTTTCCAACAATTACTTCCTATGTTCCCTGCAGTCATTAGCCTGCAGCGAACACTTTTCAGCCACTTTAATCCCCCTTCTATTCCCAAACTCCCCTTTCCTCCTCCTCTCCAGGGAGGGAGGGAGGGTTAGGTACTCTTGGATTTTATTTTATGGTCTCCTTGCATTATTTTTTCAAATAAGAAAAAATGTGGCAATTCTGATCATGAAGCTACAAGATCTCTAGACATGACAAACAAATCATCCTTGTTTTGACCGGAAAAATCAGGCCTCTACTCACATAGGACATGGAGCTGGGCCACGGAGGTTTTAATCAGCTGCCGACCCTGCACCTCCAAAGAGGCCTCGCAGGAGAAATTTCGGCCATCATCCTCCTCTGTGGCCGTGAGCAGCAGCCAGGTGGGATCCCCGGGCACAGGGCGGGCTGGGGCTCCCTGAAGTCGGAGAGTAGGGCTGGGTGACGTCAGGACATGTCCTGAGCAGGTGACATTCACATCTGTCCCTGCCAAGGGGTATGATTCTTCTATCTCCAGGACAGGTGGCGGGAAGCCTGGAAGGAAAAAAAAGACACAAAACACACATTTCTCCAAACTGGGAGCCACTTCTGGACCCTTGCTGCTAGCAGCGCCCTCTGGTGGGCAGACCTCAGAGGAAGGACTTCGGACACCGTTACTTCCTCTGGAAAAGCTGAGTGGGAGGCACTGGGCGTGTCGGAGATCTGAACGCCTCATCTGACAACGCCTTACAGCGGCGCCGTGAGACCAGCAAGATGTGTTTTCACCCATGACAAAGGTGAAGTCTCCTGTTCACTTGAGATCGTATGTGGCAAAGATGAACGGGGGTTTCAGCGGCTGTGTGTGCCGTCACATGGGGAAGGAGTGAGGCGGCCCACTTACTATAGACATGCACCGGCTGTCGGGCTTTCTGTTCCATCAAACCCAGAGCGACGAGGCAGGAGAGCTCCTGATCGCCGGGCTCCATGGCCCGAATGGTGGCGTTGGCCCAGGCCGTGTCACCCTCCCAGGAGAGGACAGCATTCAGCTCCTGATCGCCCAGGGCCATGTGGAATGTGATTTCTCTGGCTGGAAACACTCCAGCCACCTCACAGCTCACTGTCTCTGCCATCCCAACTTCCAGAAGTGAGGAGACCCAGATCTGGGGGCTCTGAGAGAACTCTGCCAAGAAATGAGGAAAAGGGGGGGGAAAAAGATAAAAGCCACAATAAACCATGTACTTGGAGGCTCCTAGATGTAGCAAGGGCGGGGGACTAAAATGTCTGTCTCCTCCGGAGAGAGTTCACAGCCCAAGCAGAGGGGCAGCTCCGTATGCTCACACCCTCGCCTCCACCCTGGACCCTGCAGGACCCCCCAGTCCCAGAGGCCACGGCCAGGAGCCCAAGATTCCTGCCTTGACCCAAGGGCTGACTCACCGAAGATGCGGAGCACCTTGGGGGCTGAGCTGCCGTGGACCAGCCCGCCCCCGTGTGAACTCAGGTCCAGCTCTGCGCGACAGGAGAAGTTGCACCTGTCATTCTCCCTTTGCGCTCTGACACTGATGGCGACCTCAGCTGCTTGGGAGGCTGGAGCCAAACTCCAGAAGTTCTTTCTGTGTAGTTCTTGGTTACCCTGGAGAAGGGTAAGGGTGAGATTCTCCAGAGGTGCCACACTGGGGACATGGCACTTGACTGTGAAAGCTTCATCCACGGCCACCCACGCAGGCTGCAACTCCAAGATGACCTGCTCTGGTGGCTCTTGAAGAGAAAAAGACGGACATGGTGAGATAGCGAGCGACCCCCTCCAGGAAGCAATGGCATGGGACAGGAGGACTGTGATAAAACCAACCAGAAGGTTCTGTCCCTAACTGATTGGAATTGGCTTGCTGCCCACCCTGCCCTAGCTGGGATGAGGTAGCCTGTTGGCTTCTGCTATTGCAAGTAGCTGGAGCCATAGATGAGAAATACAACAGTAGAGAGCACCCTTGCTCTGATGTCACTGCCATTCTGGAGAGCTTTTCTCTGACAACATGTGCCTTGGGAGCACTAGCGGCTTTTCAGGACTTCCTTGGCAGCACACGAAACCTGTACCCTAGCTTACCAAGGTGATGTTTCCAAAAAGATTTTTGTTGGAAAGGCAGATCAGATTTACAGAGAAGGAGAGACACAGAGAAACACTTCCATTCACTGGTTCACTCCCCAAATGGCCACAATGGCCAGAACTGAGCCAATCTGAAACCAAAAGCCAGGAACTACTTCCAGGACTCCCACAAACAAGTGCAGGGTCCCAAGGCTTTGTGCCACCCTCTGCTGCTTTCCCAGGCCACAAGCAGGGAGCTGGATGGGAAGTGGAGCAACCAGGACACAAACCAGTGCCCATATGAGATCTCAGCACTTGCAAGGTAAGTATTTGGCCATTGAGCCATTGTGCCAGTCCCTTGAGTTTTTAACTTCATAAACATCACACCTGTTCCTACAGTCACATGCTTTCTGATGCTATTTTCAAACTGCCTGAAAGGCTTTCTTCATCTGTCCCCTGAATTTAAACCCCTCCTTTTTCATGAAGACTTCTCTAACTGCCTCACCAAGACCCTCCTTTCTCCAATCCCTACTTAATGCTAAGAACTTGTAGCAAATAATGCAGAACTGGTTTTACTCTGTTTTTAGTCATTGAGAAGTTAGCATAGGGGCCTACACTGTGGTATAGTAGGTTGGGCTGCCACCTGTAGCACTGGCATCCCTTGAGGGCCCTGGTTTGATTCCCAGCTGCTGATGCTAGGACAGGGGAAGACAGCAAAAGATGGCCCAAGTGCTTGGGCCGCTGTGCCCGTGCGGGAGACTCTGAGGCAGCCTGTGGCTTCGGCCTGGCTATTTGGAGAATGAGCCAGTAGATGAATGATCTCTCTCTGTAACTCTACCTTTCATAAGTAAATAATTTTTTTTTTCTTTAAGGAAGTCATTATTATTAACGGTTACTTCATGTACTTGAACATTGCTCTAAGCAGAGACATCTGCATGCCCTGTCTGGGCCGCTACTAATGTAGAAGCCAGAAGAAAACCACACACACACACACACACACACACGACCACCACCACCATCCCCTCTTCCCCGGCCCAGGAAAGCCGACAAGAACTGCCTCTGGAGTCACTACAGGTGGACAGAAATCCATCAAACGCCCTGATCTCTCACCTCAAGAAGCCCGTGGATTCATCCCTGACCAAGACGCATGTGCCCTTCCCACAGCCCCCTACCTCCATCCTGCGCCCTCGGTGCCACTCACTGTACACGGTAATGTCAAGGCTCGAGTCCTTCTGGATTCCCGCACAAGAGAAGAAGCACTGCAGCACTGAATTCTCCGTGAAGCCCTCCAGGAGAAACTCCTTCCACTGAGGCCCTTTGTCCACCTGGGTCTTCTTCAACAAGGTCTCAATTCCTCCAGGGCCTGGGTCTGGGCAGGTGGTGCTGCAGTTGACCGTTAGGGGTTGTCCAAACTCTACCAGGGTCTGATTTGGCCAAATGGAAACCTCAAATAGCTCCTCTGAGAACCCTGAAATGAACCACAGAATGCCAAAGAAACTAGTGAGTGCCAGTGAGACTCAGACTCAATACACAGTTCATCCAGCTGGTTCTGAGCTAGGAAATAAGGAATTGGCCCTGGAGGAAAAGGCTCAAGGGACTGGGCCAAAACCAGATCTTCAGTGAACAAATGATTTTTCCATTCCCTCTACCCATCTTCTTTCACTTAATCTTAACCAAAAGCCGAGAAGTGAGCTACCCATCTTCTTTATAGAAATCTTGTAATTAGTGTTACTTTGGGAAATTGTAAGTTGCCAAAAAATCATGCCAAGGAAACCAAACCATTCTGTTTCTAAACTTCAAGAATTCTTGGAAACTCCCCAGGAGAGGCTGCTGGAGGTTGCTGAGGGGATACTGGGCTCCTGAGCCAAAGTGGTTTTACTACGATGATGATTATCTATACCTCAAAACAAGTGTTCTCCCAAATGATGATAAAGGATGGCCTTCACTTGACTCACCTGTGACTGTCTCAGGTGAATGATGGTGAACTTGTGAAGGCGGGGCCAGGAAGTATGGCAGGGACAAAACAAGCCCAAAACCAGATTGTGAGAATGACTGACCTAACATCACTCATTTCCCATGGAATATTCCATCTCTTCCAGAAGGAGACCATTCCATTTGGTTTTGATGATGGGGCAACTGATGCTTTTGGAGTGTTTTTCCAAGTCCAGTCTGCTTGTGAAAAGTCTCAGGTGCAGAGAGAGATGTCAGCTGACCTTCAGCTGCCCATGAGGGTCAAGTGCCGTGGTCTCCTGACGGCCTCCCTGAAGGTCCATCTGGCTAGCCCACATCTACCACCCGCTGCTTCTCCCAAATACCAATCCCCTCTGAGTGTCACAGCCCATACGGCACTGTTACCCACAAAAGGCCTATCTTGCCATCAGGAAAGCTCACTCCTTGCAACTGAGCTGTAGGCCCTGTGCTCCCAAGACCCTGTTGTAGTTTGTTATCGCCAAAGGTGGCAACAAAAAGTGAAAATATTCTTGAGAAAGCAGGACAGACATGGGACGTTGGGGAGCCTAGCAAGGAAGGCCTGCTTCCTAGGGGGAGCTCTGACTTATGACTTGATCTATTCTGAATACAAGCCAGAGACGCATCGGTGTCAAGAAACAGGTTATCTCTCAGAGGGGTCCAAATGAACCCCTCTGAGAGATGAACACGCGTGTCCCCACCACCCACCCAGGACTTCCAGGTTCCTTCCTCAGTAACTCAGTCCCCTGTGTCCCAACACATCCTGGTTAAACAAACTCTCACATAGTCTTACCTGGATGAGGGAGGGAGGCCAGCTGGACACAGACACCAAACAGAATTTCCATCTTCAGAAGAATGGTCAAAATCTGCCGAGAAAGGAAGACATGGGTCTGGAAAAAGGATCAAAAGCATTACTAGCCGTCCTGGAACCTCATATGGTCTGGAGAAGCTGCCACAAGAACACCCGCAGCATGGGCGGACTGAAACAGCTTCTGGAATCTGTTTGCACGGTCAAAAAGATGAGGGGGAAAAGATGAGACATCAGGAGGGGATTTCTGATGAGCAGGATTCCTAAACATGCTTGTATTGTATTGCTCCTTCTACTAGTTTGCCTCCATCCCGCAGTTAACTGGAGGTTGTTCGCATGGAAACATGAAAGCAGTTTACAGAATGAAATTGGGCAGTGTTTCTCTGGCATTGTCCAGTGGAAAATGGTGAATCAAGAGAACAGGGTTCCTGGAGTCTCATTCTCTGGTGTCAGGGAGGAATTTTCCCTCCAGCCTCTCTCCAGGACCGCTGGGAACGAACGCCCAGTCATCCATGGCTGAACGCCTCCCGGTACCCCAAGCAAACTTGGGCTGGGTTAGATCTTAAGCATTAACTTCTCTGTTCACCATTTATCTGATCCATGTGTTTTGCTTGCCCCATTTCACAATCCCTTACTTATTATCTCCTCTTTGAACTCACTCTGTGCCAAACAAGATTTCTGAAAACTGAATATATTAAAGTATAGTACACTTTGCTGAATTAGTATACTTACGTAATCATCATCACTATCCTAGGAATCCCTTGAATACAAAAAAAGCTATAATTAATTTATCTTGTATTCCAGCACCTAGCACAGTGCCCAGGACATTATGGATATGACATATATGAGTAACTACTTTATTAATTTCATATTTGTATTTTCATACATTGAATTATATGCAAGTCTACCTTTTAAAAAAAAGATTTTATTTAGTTTCATTGGAAAGGCAAAATTACAGAGAGAAAGATCTTCCATCTGCTTGTTCATTCCTAAAGTGGCCACAGTGGTGCCTGTATGAGATCCTGATGTTTCTGCGACAAGGCTTTAGCCATGGGGCCATTGTGCTGGGCCCCAAATCTACCTTCTGTGCTAGGATGGAAGTGTTTCTTCTCGGTCTTTTCAAAATATAATCACAGCCTAATAGGCCTGGACAAATTTAAACTCCCCAGTATAACTCTCTCGGAAAACTAGAAGCTTAATCCATCGATGACAACATTTTTCAAACCTTTTCTGGGAGTAATTTAGAACTGGATTTTAAGCAATAAAGTAAAACTTTTTATTAAACTAATCTGTAATTTTTTGGGCAAAAATGGCATTACTTAGGCACCTTTTTTTTTTTTTGCCAAACTTAGCTCTATGGGACTTTCATTTCTTTTCAAGAAAAGCCTGTGGGCCCGGCGCGGTGGCGCAAGTGGTTAAGGCCCTCACCTTGCACGCCCGGGATCCCATATGGGCGCCGGTTCTATCCCGGTGGCCCCGCTTCCCTTCCAGCTCCCTGCCCGTGGCCCAGGAAGGCAGTCGAGGACGGCCCAAAGCTTTGGGACCCTGCACCCGCGTGGGAGACCCTGAAGAGGCTCCTGGCTTCGGATCGGCATAGCATCGGCCGTTGCGCTCACTTGGGGAGTGAATCATCGGATGGAAGATCTTCCTCTCTGTCTCTCCTCTCTGTATATCCTCCTTTCCAATAAAAAAAATCTTAAAAAAAAAAAAAGAGAGAAAAAAAAGAAAAGCCTGTTATTAAAAATATGCTAAATATGGGCCCAGTACAGTAACCTAGTGGCTGGAGTCCTCACTTTGCACATGCCAGGATCCCATGTCGGCATCAGTTCTAATCCCAGCTACCCCACTTCCCATCCAGCTCCCCGCCTGTGGCCAGGGAAAGCAGTCAAGGATGGTCCATGGCCTTGGGACCCTGCACCCACATGAGAAACCTGGAGGAAGCTCCTGGCTCCTACTTTCAGATCAGCTCTGTTCCAGCCATTGTGGTCACACGGAGTGTAGATCAACAGATGGAAGATCTTCCTCTCTGCCTCTCCTCCTCTCTGTATATCTGCCTTTCCAATATATTTAATAAATCTTAAAAAAAAAAAAAAAGATATGCTGAATCAAGATGGTAGAATACGGTAAGGACATGTTTAAACAGATGGAGAATCATTAGCCAGTATGAAGTAGAGAGGGCACAGTCCAGGAAATAGAAGAGGACAGAATGAGAGCAGAGGGGCACCTGGAGACTGACAGACACAGGAAAGCAGTGGACACAACGGTGTGGTGCCGCAGTGACTGATATCTCAGTGGCATTCAACAAGCAGCGATCTGAACTGCACTGGCTGCCAGAGCTCCACCATCAACAAGACAGAAAGGGGGGAGTTCACGGGAACCCAGGAGGTGAGCCCAGACAAAGAACTGCCCATCCTGCTGGTCTGTTTGATTTCACCGGGAGCAGAGACAGAACAGCGGTTCCCAGACGGGCAGTGCGGGAACAGGGTGGATTTCACAGCTCAGTCTGCCCCCTAGAGCTGAATCAAGTGCCATTTTGCGCAGGAAGATAAAGCAATGAGACAGGACTGAGCATGCACTGAGCTGGGAGTGAACTCATTTCTGGTTCAGTGAACTGCAACAACATTGCATCCTACAGATTCCACCCCAAGATAGATCCGGGTAGCCCTCATACCTCACAACCAGCAGATCAAGAACTCTAGTAGTGGCACATTAGGCACCATTTTGTACAGTGTGGCAAAAGTTTTAATACTGTAGGACAACACCCATATGGAAGACCCGAAAGAAGCTCCTGGCTCCTGGCTTCGGACCAGCTGAGCTCCAGCCATTACAACTGCTTAGGAAGTGAACCACTGGATGGAAGAGCTTTCTCTCTGTCTCTCCTCTCTGTAAACTTCCTTCAGGACTCGGGAGAGGAGCTTTCCTTGGTCCTTACTTAGTTCCAATTTTGGATCCCCACCCTCTCTTGAAATGACCATCAGGGTCGCTCCGGAGCCCCGCCACCAAAAATTAGATCAGATAGACAGAGACCAATAAGGAACGCTTAGAACAGACAGGAAACAGTCAGCTTGGACTCACATATACCTTACTAGGTAGGACACAAAGATTAGTTACTCCTCACTAGGATATTGAAGATTTCTCTGTACACCCCTCCTAAAACTGTTCTGAGCCTCAAGTGTTAACCTATGCCTTGTTAGAGTTACAAGCCTACTTGGACTATCCTAAAATTCGCCAAGTTCGGTAAAAAAAAAAATCACATTTCAATACTATAAGCTGTTAAATATAAAAATGAAAACAGACACGAGACAACTGAATAGTACCCTATAACCATTTTAAGGTGTATAGCGGCCTGTTGTATATAAACTAAAATTGAAATGTCAATGAAGTAGTCACAGGACGTGGTTAAGAACTTGCATTTTGTAACATTTTGGTCACTCGATACCATGTCAATTAACTCCATGATGTTGTAAATTGTTGTTGATGTTATGTTGTGGCCTTTCATTGGAGGGGATGATATTCTGCCAGCTCTACTTTCAAACCAGGGATGCCCCGCCGCCCATGAAACTGTTGACTTTATCTGGACAACAAGATGCTGGACTCCATGCATGGTACATGCTCGCAATGAAGGAATCATGACTGGAGATGAATTGTAATACTGTAACAATGTGGAGGAATCCAATATGGGGGAGGGCATGGGGAAGGGTTGGGGAAACTGTGTCACAAAAGGAAAGAAAAAGAAAAAAACAAAAAACCTGAGGATACTAATCTTGCAGAAGTGGACGATAGACTAAAAATCCAAGGCCTGTGAAACTCTCCAGTGGTGAGATTTTGCCTTTTTAAATGCTACTCATATTCTACTCCAGCATTCTTCCTGGCTTCAGTTAATTTATGAAGACACACTAATTTAAGTAAGTTTGTAGTTTCTGCTTTTGGCTCCTGCTAAAAGTTAAACTCATGAAGTTTTGTATCAACTTTGTTCTTTAAACTAAGTGGGCATTATGTGATTGATGAAACACATACTTGATCATTAGGGTTTCTAAGTAGGTCGAAGCTTGCACAAGCCTTAGCATGACCTTTCAGTATTAATCATGTCATGAAATCTTCCCAGAACAAAATGCCTCCTGAGCTTTCTACTCAATTGAATTCCCATCTGTTTCTAAAATATAATAACAATGTTTCTTGAGATAATTCAGTTTTGCTCATCCTATCAAGAATATGGAATTAATAGCAAGATGTAGGTTGAGAAGTAAAACTTTATACAGTTCAAAGAGCTAATTGACAGATGTTCTTAAACACATGCAACATGGGCCTTTCCACTAGGTGTTGGTAAGAATTGGGGACAATTTATATTTTATCATTTTAGTTTTTAACCAGCCTTTGCATACCCAATATTACATTGGAGTTAACACTTGTGGAAAGGACAATGCTCTTTCCAAATTTTGCAATAACCTGTACTACTGGGACTGTCCGTGTAAGACCGGCCGCCACATATAAACCCTGTGCTACAGAAAACATTAAATTGTTACCAGGCATGTTTAAAAAAAAAAAATCAGCCTTCCCAAGAAAAATAAATTTTTAAAAAAATTGATGTCCAAATTGAGATGCACTCTGTCAATACACACTTTATCTCAAACACTTAGTGTGAAAAGTAATGTGAAAAATATACTTTTTAAAAAAGACATCCGTTTTGACTTATATAATCTGTAGACTATACCTCACAAACGTTTAAACTCAGAACATGGAAATCTGGAGCTGCCACTGTGGTGCCAGCTACTCCACTTCTGACCCAGCTTCTTTCCATATGCCTAGGAAGGCAGCGGAGGATGGCCTAAGGGCTTGGAACCTCCACCCACCTGGGCGACCTGGACGGACCTGGACGGAGTTCCTGGCTCCAGACTGCATCGCAGCCATCTGGAAAGGGAGCATCTGGTTGTCAGCCAATGCTTGGGCGCGTGCTCGTGTGTGTGTGTGTGTGTGTGTGTGTGTGTGAGAGAGAGAGAGAGAGAGAGAGAGAGAGAGAGAGAGAGAGAGAGAGAGAGA